CCCGTGGCCTTACGGTGTAGTAACGTCTTGCACCGCAAAACCACGCATCATGCAAAGAGTCACAAAATTAGACAGAGAGTTAATCATCGATCCAAAATTAAGCTGCAATTAAAACAAAATATCAATCTTTATTCAGACCAGCTGCAATAATCGACATCAGGACGTGAGTTTGGACAGATAGAAAGAGACCAAAATAATGGAACCGATTTAATGAGAGCTATAATAGCCCCTCGCCGCGACTCTGCCTCTTCGGGTCCCACAGCTCCCCATCGACAGGCCTCCGATACGACGGGTGTCTCTGACATGCCTACTTCCCCTCGGACTTTCGGACGAGAGGACTGACTGGGGCAGAGTTGGGCCGCAGGTCGGAGAGGCCTGTGTTCCCGTGTCCGCCATCGGAAACTCATATCAGCACAACAAACTGGCCAAAAAAAAAGACGTCAACAGGAGAGAACGGCAATCATTTCTGGCGACGAAAATAGAGGAAGTTGGCAGTGGACGATAAATTGCAGGAAAAGTGGACGCACCCCCAGTCCAGCTGCAGACTGATTCCGCGCGGGGAGGTTTTCGTCGCTCTGTCCCTCTCGCACTTATGGGGCGTCCCGTATGGGTGCGAGAGAGACAGAGCGACGACTCTCAGTCTGCAGACCAGCTGCCCCTCGGCCGGCGGCACCGGGCGGCACCCTTTCGAGCTGGAGGCTCCAGCTGAAGACGCATCGCCCTCCACGGACAGTTTGGCGAAGGAGATCCGCTTGGGCAGTACCAAAACAGGGCCCAGGCACGAGCCAATTCCAAAGTGGAGAACCTTTTTTTTCTCTCCGGAAAGGGGGCAGCCGGCACGCGTCAGAGTCAAACTGGTCGGAACGGAACCCCCAACTCTCTCTCTCTCTCTCTCTCTCTCTCTCTCTCTCTCTCTCTCCTCTCTCTCTCTCTCTCCTCTCCTCTCTCCTCTCTCTTCTCTCTCTCTCCCCTTCTCTCCTCTCTCCCTCTCCTCTCCCCCTCCCTCTCCTCTCTCTCTCTCTCTCTCACGTTCGGAAAGGGTTGTTTACGAAATGAGACTCTGACCAAGTGGAGTGACTCACCTCACCTGGCCAATCAGCCTTGAGGAGTCAGCACACAATAAGGGTGGTACACTGTGTGCGGCCTTTTGCAAGGTTGCACGGCCAGTGACCGCAATCCCACGGTGACTCAGCGAGCACCATCACAAAAGGTGTTTCCCCAATCGCACTCAATATTGACCCACACTGCTAGAACTGACTGACACTAAAGGGAAACACTGAAGAAATTTCCCTTTTCGAAAAAAAGAATTGAAAATTGAAAGTTTTAAGAAAGTTTTTCCTTTTTTTTCGCGTGTTTCAATTATTGCAGCCTCCTCCCCGTCCCGAGACTTCAGCCCACTCCTGGCGAAAACAAGACAATTAATGTAGACACGTGTAATGGCGTTCAAAATTCTAACGGCGTGTCGGACACCACACTTTAATTAGAACAGTCATGGGGTGGAATTTTAAAAGCGGCCGAGCGTGGCCAGCAGACTGATTCCGAGGGTCACTCTGTCTCTCTCGCACCTACGTGGGACGCCCCATGAGTGCGAGAGAGACAGAGGGACGCGACGACTCTCGGAATCAGTCTGCTAGCTGGGCGAGCAATGGACCGAGACTTCTGGAGGTGGTGTTCGGTGCCTTGCGGAGAGGGGAGCGGCATGGAAATCTCGCTGCACAGTGTGCTGCACAGGCCGCGGAGGGTGTCGATACGGCAATGTTTATCAAAGAGCACGCCCTTCTCGGCCCAAACGAGCCGACCCTGCTTTGGGGCGGAAGGGTAGGGTACCCTCTCAGTCAGCGACTAGCCAAACTGTGCATTTTGATGCACGAATGAAATGAATTTCAGTTGAATTACGACGAATTTTCGACAAAAACTACTGCATTTTGAGAAAAAATTTAATTTTTTTTTTTGAAAGAAATGTCAGGGAATTTCAAATTTTTGTTGAATTGTGGTAAACAAATGTGGCTGGAGTTGTTTTACCTTGTGACCAGCCTAACCTTTACTGAGGTAAAAAAAGTTATTATTTGCACTGTCAGTTGGTTTCCCACAGTTTGTTTCCTCCCAGTGTGTCACCGGGTCAGCGGCCGCGACGAAATGAAACGAAACGAAACGGAATCGCACAGCGCGTTCATTGTGAGCGTCCCTGCGAGTGACCTTGACGTGCATTGACTGTGCGCGACTCCCCAAGGCCGTCAAGGCCGTCGTGAAGGCCGCGGGGTCGCTGACTTGCAGTGGCGGCACCGCCTGTCAACAACACATCACAATGGCCTGTTTGTCTTCGTTCCTCCCGAGAAGGAAGCGGCAAAAAAAAAGCACCTCAGTGCGTTCAAGTCCCAACCGGAAGAGAAGGCAAAAAAAAAAAAAATTACACGGTGTGTGTGACTGTGATGGGATGATTGGATTCTGGCAACGAGAAGAACGTAAATAAGGGTCAATAAAATTTTTATCGTTGCCTAAAATTGAATTTGGCATTGTGGCCGGGCGGCACTATTTTATTGATTTTAACGCTGTGGTCGCGGACCCGGAGGCTCCAAGAAGGAGGAACCCCTTCGCGCGCCCCTCCGACCGCTGCCACCGCCGCCCGGGCCGGTCAGGCCGGACACTACACTGCCGAAAACAAACCCGACGCCGCTTTACCGACGAGTGGTTTCCAATTGATTGTACTAGATGGCGCTGCGGTCGCCGCGGTTGCGGTGTCGCGGTAATGGGAGCACGCTCTCGGTGGCCGTGGTGGAGGCCGTGGTGGTGGCCGAGGCCACGCTGCAGGTGCACCAACAGACACGTTAGTCCTCTGTCGGAATTACTTCCAAAAGTCAGAAGCACTGTAGAGCCATTTGGAGTCCATTTTGTTGGTTTCTAGGACTCTTTGCGCGACTGTACAGCTCGGTGAGGTTAAAACGGTTCGATGAATCGAATCGAGAAATTCAGGGGACCGGCAAGGACCTGCAGGGAGGGAACTGAGATTCCCCGTGCGGTCGGAGGCCCTTGAATTTTTCAGTCGCTAAAGCCCCTTGCGCCTCAATTATCCATACAGCAGTCTTCCTTAAGCCACCCCTCCCCCTCCCCCTGACCGCTGGTCACGCTGGCGGTACGGCCATGGACCTTCCTTGGCATTGTCCATGAGCCTTCCCTCCCCATTGTGCGACTTGTTCTAAACTGTCCATTGTCCCCTCGGCCTGCCGCGGTCCCGGCGGCCTTAGCCAGGCCTTAGCCAGGCCTTAGCCAGGCCTTAGCCAGGCCTTAGCCAGGCCTTAGCCAGGCCTTAGCCAGGCCTTACCCCTTCCTGGCCCTTTTAGGCATTTGCCTTTCACTGCAGCTGCCACACAAATCATTTTCCCGCCAAAATCGCGCCAAGGGCACCGTAATTGGCACAACGAGTCGAATACATATCGGCAATAATAAGTGGGGCCCTTGGAGCTCCTTAGGCCCTACGAGGGCGGGGCGAGGCGGGGCGGGGTGGGGCCGGGCGGGGCGGACCGCACGCCCTCGGTATTCAGGCGGCACAACTTTCCTATCCCTCCCCGAATGAGCATAGTTGGGCAAGTCTGATGTTTGCCAAGTGCGCTCGGCCCAGGGCGGCCTAGGGCTTTGGAGAGTCCATCACGGCCACCGAGCATGCCATCTTTGTCGCTCTCGTGGCTGAAGCCGCGAGCCCACCAGACGACAAGGGGTTGCAGTCACAGAAGGCTCGAAAGCGGTTTAAAAGCCGTTTTCCAAAATAATGCAAAAAGAAATAATTGTGAAAGTGGTCAAACTTATCCACTCAATAATTATAGTGCGATGGTGATGAAGACGATGATGATGATGAAAACGACGATGATGATGAAGGCGACGATGATAATGATTAAGAAAAGAGAGAAGAAGGGCTGTGATAAACGCTAATGAGTCTGTGCGTGCTTTGGCAAATTGGAAAAGAATGCAAGCTGATACATTCCGAGCGGGGCGGCGCCATGTAGCAGTAATGCCACACTCGTGACGAGTCCCGTCACGTGACGTGATTGAGTGATGCGTGACGGGGGCCTTAATAAAGTGCTGGTCACGCGAGTGACGTCACTCACCTAACAATTAACGGCCCCACTAATTGCTATTCGCCAAACTCGCAGCAGACACACACACACACACACACACAGAGAGAGAGGAGAGAGAGAGAGAGAGAGAGAGAGAGAGAGAGAGAGGCTAACACTGATACTGCACTCCGAAAGGTAAGGACATCGAAGCATGCAAGACGCGAGAGCGATTCCCTCAAAGACTGTGAGCAAAACCCAATTTTGTGTGCGCAGGAGGGTCTTCTTTCCAGTCAGCAGGGTCTTCTTTCCAGACGTAAGTCTTTGCTGCGACCACAGCGGCCTTAGCGTGTACTAACGGGGAATGCACCCGCGAGGTACGACGTGCACGTGCCGCACAGCACCGCCAGAGAGAGAGAGAGAGAGAGAGAGAGAGAGAGAGAGAGAGAGAGAGAGAGAGAGAGGGAGGGATAGAGAGAGAGAGAGGGATAGAGAGTGGTCCAAGCTGACCGCCTGCCCCTCCCCTCGGCGAAACCGCGAGAGGCACCCCACCCAGTCTTAGCGCCAGCCCCGATATCTCAGCCTCGGCGTCCCTCTCGCTCCCCCTCACGCTCGTGCCCTCTCTCTCGCTCCCACCGTCGTCCGGCCCGTGCGGCGGGCTGGCGGGCCGGCGGGCCGTGGTGGGGTGGGGGCGGCGGCGTAGGGGAGGTCTGGGGGCGGTAGCACGTGCGGCGGGGCGGGGCGGGGCGGGGTGCGGTGGGGCGGGCGGCGGCGCGGGGGTGGGGGCGATCTCCGTTCAGCAGCCGTACCTCGGTGGTGTGGTGGTTATTGTGTTAAAGACGGCCTGCTCGGGAGCTCCTCTGCAAGCAGACGACGCTGTGTCCGTTCTGGCGGTCCGCCGACCACGCCGTCCACGCCGCGCCGTGACAGTGACCACAAAGTGACCGCCGGGCGCGCGCGCGGCCGCCGAGCGCCGTCGAGTGTCCGCGAGTGCTTGTCTTTTTTTGTGATTGCCTCGTTTTGGCGCGCTTTCCGTGCGAGCGGCGTATGTGTGTTGTGATACCCTCGGCGTGCGGAGCTGCGCCGTCCACACCGCAAGTAAGTGTGTCGCGAGCTATTTCGGACTCGCGTCGTTAAAACGTCCACGCGACGCACTCTGCGCTTCGTGAATCACCCGTCGGCACGCCTCAGCCCCCTCAGTCCTCCAGAAGACGGATTTCACGTGGGTGTCTCTGTCTCTCTCGCACTCACGGGGCGTCCCGGAGGGCCGCGAGGGAGACAGAGCGACGGAATGATTGTTCTTTGGACTTGGGAATAAGGCGCCGGTGAGTCTCCAATCTCCGCCGAGACTGTTGCACGACCCGCGAGCCTCGCCACTGCAAAGTGGCGTTTTGGCGCCAAAAAGCAACAAACCGCCGCGGCCCTTCCAGTGTCGTGTCAACAATGCCAATCGTTCTGACGCGGACTGTACGTCCCACAGTGGGCCAGAAGACCGGTGGAGGCGGCCGAAACTCCAGACACGTTTTGAGGACTCGAACCGAACGTGTGACTCCTCCAGTGGATTCCTCGTTCGGAGAGCAATCCATTGGTGGGGTCACACGTTCGGTTCGAGTCCCATTTAGCGACTCTGGAGCTCAAAACGCGTCTAGAGTTTTGGCCGCCTCCACCGGTCTTCTGGCCCGCGGCGCGTGGTTTGTCAAACGGAGGGAAGCGCGGCGGTACAGGCGCGGCAAAAAGGCATGCCTCGGGGCGCTGCGGGGCGCTGGACCCACGGCACTGGAAGCCACGCCACTGGAAGCCTCGACAGCGAACCGGGAACTTGGTCCGCAAATGAGTCCCTTCCCCGAGCGACAGGCACGTCCCCGCCGGGCGTGACATGTTCGTGTTGTGTTCCGTGCTGGCTTCGCGCGCCCCGCGGCTACTGTCTCCCTCTCACACACACTCGGCACGAACACGCGAGAGAGTTAAAACGTAGACTTAATTTGCATCAAGTCGATAGGCGTCTTCAGAAACGCCGCATGACGCGCGCGTTCGGAACGAGAAGCTCCCGCGCACTCCTCAAAATCCTCTGCTCCTCCGTGTCGCGAAAGACACACCGGCTGTCGCGATGAATGAAATGTAACTCACTTTGAGTCCTGCTGACGCGAACCGCGGCGTTGGCGCGTGGTTCCCGCGACGGCGGTTCCCTTGCGTTCGTCTCACTCGGCCTGGTCAAACCCCGGCGGGAAAACCCCGACAGATCGGCCACGCTGATAGAGGTTCCGACGCGAACCAGCGAACCCGCCACCGCGATGTGGATTCGGCGCCAAACTGGCAGGCGGTGCCACACTGTGATGTGATAAAGCCATTGCCGGGCTACAACAATCCCATGCGCGTTTTATGGCACCGCATGGCCGGCGGTGCGTTTCTGGTTCCTTTGGCGGCGCGGCACTTCCGCTTCCAGTGTACGTGCGTCTTCCTTCCGGTCATGACGCGTCGGCACTGACAGGGAGTCCTTGAACGGAATGAGCGCATGAATGAATGAAAGACCGCTAGAATGAATGACTGAATGAAAGACCGCTAGAATGAATGACTGAAAACTTCAATGAATAAATGAAAGAATGACTGCATGGATGACTGAACGCTTGAATGAGTGATTGACTGAATGGAAGCTTGAATGAATGACTGAACGGATGAACACTCTAGTGACTGATCACTGGAATGAATGGCTGGATGAACGAGCCCTCGAATGACTGAATGGAAGAACGAACGAACGAACGAACGAACGAATGAATGAATGAATGAATGAATGAATGAATGAATGAATGAATGAATGAATGAATGAATGAATGAATGAATGAATGAATGAATGAATGAATGAATGAATGAATGAATGAATGAATGAATGAATGAATGAATGAATGAATGAATGAATGAATGAATGAATGATCAAGGACTCGTCCGAGGGCGTTGTCTCCCCCGGGGACCGTTGCCTTTTCACTGAACCGGCCGATCGGTCTGCTCCGCCACGCCCCCGCATGTGTTTCCTGTTCGTCACACTCACACACACACACACACACACACACAGACACACATTGTCTTACTTCGTAGGCAAATGTAACGGAGCCCGTCCTCAAAGGCACGCCGCCAAGGCCGATGGCACAAAAGATGAGGTAGCTGACTTTGACTGACGACGGGGCCGAGAGCAAGGTCACAACGTTTGGGTCGCCCTGTCTCTCTCGCACTCATGGGGCGTCCCGTAGAGGTGCGAGAGAGACAGAGAGAATCAATTTACGGCCACAATCACGCACTGAAGCACGCAGGAAAGCGCGCGACTCCACTCGTGTTTTTCTCTTGCAGTGGTAGCGGCGAGGGGTGCTGGCGCCCTGCACTGGAGGATTACCGCGCCCATGATGAGGTAGTAGCGGCGACGCAGCACACCACGCCGTAAGCATGCTTCTTTTTTACAGGAAAACGCACCTTTTGCGACAATGTATACGATTTTTCAACCAGTTATACGGGCCAATATGAGCGAGAAAAATGGCTACCAAGTATATTTTGTTTTGTTTTAGTGTTGACAGTTTCGCTGAGGATCAGCTTAGTACTATGACGACACGGCCAGTAGGGAATTAGGAGTATACTTAGTAATTCTCATCATAACATGCTCATAATGGTCCGATTCTATTTACATTTTGATTGTTTATGAGTCGATTCCTCAAATTTCAAATGTTTCAAATTTTCGACTGTCAAAAGTAGTAGTTTTAAAATTTTAGATGGTTTAATTTTTAAAATTTCAAATGTTTCAAATTTCAAAATTTTCAATGTTTTAAATTTTTGACTGTCAAAAGTAATAATTTTAAAATTTTAGATGTTTAAAATTTTAAAATTTCAAATGTTTTAAATTTCAAAATTTTCAATGTTTTCAAACTGCAGTGTTTTTTTTTTTGTTCTTGGTTTTTTAAATCTCAGTCGCTGTTATTGAAAATTGATGTTCTTTTTCCCACAGTGCCATGGCGGCTGCCATAAGCAGCGACTGGAGCGCGGCGACCGCGGCGACCGTCAAGACGGAGCACTCGTCGTACGGGAGTCGCAAGTCGGCGGGCGCGGCCACGGCCACCACCAACGTGGACTCGCTGCACCTGTCCGGCAACACGAATGGCACGGTGCCGGGCACGGCGTCCTCGCCCGAGGGCACCAACTCGCTGCTCAACGACGCCTACACCAAGATGACGTCGGACATCCTGGCGGAGCGGACGCTGGGCGACTTCGTGTCGGAGCACCCCGGCGAGCTGGTGCGCACGGGCAGCCCGCACTTCGTGTGCACCGTGCTGCCCACGCACTGGCGCTCCAACAAGACCCTGCCCGTCGCCTTCAAGGTGCTCGCCCTCGGCGACGTCCTCGACGGCACGGTGGTCACGGTGCGCGCCGGCAACGACGAGAACTACTGCGCCGAGCTGCGCAACTGCACCTCCGTCATGAAGAACCAGGTGGCCAAGTTCAACGACCTGAGGTTCGTCGGCCGCAGCGGCAGAGGTGAGTCTTAAAAAGGGCTGGGTGTTGGCGCTTCTTTACACGGAAGACCGGCGGAGGCAGCCAAAACTCTAGACGCGTTTTGAGCCCCAGAGTCGCTAAACGGGCCTCGAACCGAACGTGTGACCCCACCAATGGGTTGCTCTCCGAACGAGGAGTCCATTGGTGGGGTCACACGTTCGGTTCGAGTGACATTTAGCGACTCTGGAGCTCAAAACGCGTCTGGAGTTTTGGCCGCCTCCACCGGTCTTCTGGCCCACTGTGGCCCTGTAATGAGGGTGGAGCGCCAAGAATAAGGGAAGGGCGAAGGGCGAGGGCGGGAGGCTCGGCTGGAGGCGCTGGAGGGACGCATTAGGACAATATGCCTTGGACCACGCGGGCCGGGGCCGGGGCGGCCGGGGGCCACGCAGGGTCACTTTCAGCCCGTGTCGGACTTGTCGGAGGGGAGAGCGCCTCCAGGCGGCATTCCGAACAGGCTCGCTGTCTCTCTCGCACCCCCACGCCGCGGCCCACGCGTGCGAGAGAGACGGAGCGAGCCCAGGAAACAATAGGCCGCTGGGGCGCGAGGCGAGGCGAGGCCTGGCTGGCCGGCAGGGCGACCAGAGGCCAGGGGCCGGCAAAATTTGCATGACCAGATAATTCGTCGCTGAGGGTCGAAAGGGTTGATTCCGGACGGCGGAGGGGTGGACCGGGTGGACCGGACCGGGCCAGCGCGTACAGTCACCCCTTTATGTGTTTGTCCTGTAGAGCTGATATAATGCCCAAGTAATATTACAACACATTTTGCGCCGAGAATTTCCCATATTAACGGAAAGCGATGCGCGCCCCTTGAGGGTAAAGGCAGCCTCGATGTAATTTGCGCGTTACAAGAAGGGGGAACACAACTGACGTGGCAAGCTTCTACGAGGTTGACTGTACCCTTGTATTCCGCTTTGGACTAGAGTGTACCGGACGTGTTTTAGCTGTCAGTGTCCAATGAGGTTGGACGCCGCTTCGGGGTGCAGTCAGTGTACCCGACCCTTGATCTCGTGTTTAGTGCTCAAGGTTGGACACCGTTTTGGGGTGGAGTGTAGCAGACACTTGATCTAGAATTGAGTGTTCAATGCGGTTTGAACGCCGCTTTGGGGTGGAGTGTACCAGACACTTGGTCTAGAGTTGTGTTCAATGAGAGTGAACTGACGTTACTTTTGTGTGTACCACTTGAGCGAGCGTTCAGTTGTTCAATAAGGTTGTGTTCAGTATTCAATGGGAGTGGACAAGGACGCATCTTTCGAGTGGAGTGTATTACCACACACTAGTTCTAGTGTTGAATGAAGTGGGAGTTGAAGGCCGTTTTGGGGCGGAGTGTACCGGACACTCGTTTTGGCTGGCAGTGTTCGTGTCGTGCGATAATACGCAGGCCACGCTGGGGGTCACGAGCACGCCAAGCCCAGCGCAAGCCCAGCGGAGCCGAGCGCACCCCACTGTAGGCACGGCCACGGCACGGCCACGCCACGGCCCAGCCCATGTTTCGCTCGCACACATCGATTTGTCCGTGCATGTGCAGGCGGAGGACAGGCCCGAGCAGTGCACAGTGCCTGCACAGTGCCTGCACTAGGACGCGAGGGGAGCCGAGGGTTTAGTCAGTAAAGCCCCACGCTGGCCGGGACGGCAAATGAACCGGAGCCATTAGTCGGCAAAAATGAGGGTGAATGCTGTTTGAAAGTTATTCCGAGCGGCCGGGTGGCGATTTCATGTCGAGGGCGGTGTCCCGGAAAGGGTGCTGGTAACACGTGTCGCGGTGCGAGTGAAAAAAGACGGGGATTTTCATTTTAAAGTTAAAAGGTCTTAAGTGTTACACCTGTAACCCGCACTGTTGACGACATAATCACTCGGAAAGTGGCGCACAGTGGGCCCGAAGAACGGTGGAGGCGGCCAAACCTCCAGACGCGTTTTGAGCTCCAGGGTCGCTAAATGGGACTCGAATCAAACGTGTGACCCCACCAATGGATTCCTCGTTCGGAGAGCAATCCATTGGTGGGGTCACACGTTCGATTCGAGTCCTGCTTAGCGACTCTGGAAATCAAAACGCGTTTGGAGGTTTGGCCGCCTGCGCCGGTCTTCTGACCCACTGTGCGGCGGCAGCCGGGAAGTGCGCGCGTGGCGCCGGAGGGTCTGGCCGCGGCTGCGCGGCGCCGCCGGTGGCCCACACCGTAAGACGCGTGCCTGGCCCAGCCTGGCCGCGACCCACCCCAACACTTCTTACATTCTTCTGCCACCCCACTGGAGGCGCAAGGCGGCGCAAGGCGGCCCAGGACTCGGCCACCCTTCTTTCATGAAGTTGTTAGACGCCACCCTCCTCGCCTGCCGCCACACTGCCGCCGCCGCCTTCCGCCTCCTTGGTTTCCGCCGTAACCCCTCCGGCCTCCGCTCGCCGTCGCACAGTGGGCCAGAAGACCGGTGGGGGCGGACAAAACTCCAGACGCGTTTTGAGCTCCAGAGTCGCTGAATGGGACTCGAACCGAACGTGCGACCCCACCAATGGATTGCTCTCCGAACGAGGAATCCATTGGTGGGGTCACACGTTCGGTTCGAGTCCCATTTAGCGACTCTGGAGCTCAAAACGCGTCCGGGGTTTTGGCCGCCTCCACCGGTCTTCTGGCCCACTGTGCGTCGCCTGCAGACCGATTCCGAGAGTCGTCGCTCTGTCTCTCTCGATCCTAAGCGGCACGCGCCATGAGTGCGAGAGAGACGAAGCGACGATTCTCGGAATCAGTCCGCTGCCAGCCGCTGTCACGTCCATCGAAAAACATGCTCGATGAGCCTATATTTTGCGCCAGACTCTGAAAAAAAAAATTAAAACAAATAAACCGATTGAACAGTTTGAAAGTTTGGGCGTCCTTTGTGCAGGCCGTCTGGTCGATTCAATGCCCGTCGCCCCTGGCTGCCCCCGGCCCACCTCCTCCACAATGGGGTAATAATCGCCCCAAACCAAACAGCTCTTTCCGTTGCCGTTTTGTTTTTGTTTCTACTGGGAAAGGCCCGTCGAAACAGTTTGGCGCACTGCACAGTGGAGGCGCGGTGGCGCGGTGGCGCGGTACCCCCAATCCGCTATTTACCGTCACCGAAAAATAAAAGACCGGCCAACGAGCCCAACGACCACGGCGGAAAAAAAAAGAACGACAAAAAAAAAAGAGAGCGCGGTGGCGTCCGGGGCGCGACGGTGGCGCCGCGGGCCGGCAGTGGAGGGAAGCAGTCGGAAGCGCCGTTCGCACACGCGGCCCGATGCACCGCACCCTGCACACCGTTCGTCTCTGTCGCTCCCAAACGACGCCGCGCTGCGCACAGTGGGCCAGAAGACCGGTGGAGGCGGCCAAAACTGTAGACGCGTTCTGAGATCCAGAGTCGCTAACAGGGCACAAACCGAACGTGTGACCCCACCGATGGATTCCTCGTGCGGAGAGCAACCCATTGGTGGGGTCACACGTTCGGTTCGAGTCCCATTTAGCGACTCTGGAGCTCGAAACGCGTCTAGAGTTTTGGCCGCCTCCGCCGGTCTTCTGGCCCACTGTGCTGCGGTCGCGCAGTCGTCCTTTTCGCACCGACGTGTTGGTCGTCGTTTTTGTGTCCGGATGGGCGAGGTGTGTCGGACGCCCGGCCGGGTAGGCAGCGCGCTGCACGGCACAGTGCAGCGGCGCGGGACGCGCGGACCGCCAGGCGCTCAGACGAAAAGAAATAAAAAATTTAAAATCGTTGAGAAAATTTCGGAATTGCATAAGGGGCTGGCCTGGACATAGAAAAAAAACCAATCCTGGTGAGGCTACAAGACTACTTCGTGTCTAAAAAAAAGCTCTATCGTTACTAGGGGTAAGGTGCAGAAGAAAAGTACAGGGTATAAGTGGGTACTATAAGCACAACCAGAGAGTGTCTCTTGATAGCTTGACTTTGCGAGCCATCCGGATCCATCCCTGTGTGATGTCCCTGTTGAAGGAATGTCAATATGCCTGCTGCAAGCCACAAGGGGATGTACGTTTCTTGCCCTTGTACTTTATTCCCCTCGAACCTACCCCTACGGCTTTAGTTTGGTCGAATTTCTGAATAAAACACTGCCACATCAATGCGTATGAAACAAATTCCTGTGCCGTGGAGGAATTCGTTTTTTCAGATTTCTGTGGCGACACTCGAACAGTGTACGCAACGCAAAGGTAGTGCAGTGGACTCGGCCTCGGGCCCGGGCCGCGTGGCCCCGCGTCGCCCCGCCCCGCAGTCCCGTAGGGTGCCATGGAGTACCACCCCCACAGTGGTGGTTCTATATCGATTGCCGGCATGCAGGTTTGCCCGCTGTCGCACATTCATGCGCACCCTCACACACGCACGCACGCACGCACACACACACACACACACCAACACAGGCACGCACGGGCCACCCCAACAACTTGGCCGCCCCGCACTACAGAGCTGCGTGACGCGGTGGACTCGAGAACCCTTTCGGCCAACTTCGCGAGCCGCCGAGTGGTCCATTCATTGCGGCCAGTTCGCCAGCACAGTGGATTTGCCAGAAGACCGGCGGAGGCGGCCGAAACTCCAGACGCGTTTGGAGCTCCAGAGTCGCTAAATGGGGCTGGAATCGAGCGTGTGACCCCACCAATGGATTCCTGGTGCGGAGAGCAATCCATTGGTGGGGTCACACGTTCGGTTCGAGTCCCATTTAGCGACTCTGGAGCTCAAAACGCGGCTGGAGTTTTGGCTGAGGTGTGTAGATCAGTGGAATCCCGTTCAGTTTGGCCGCGCTGTTCACACATTGCTGCCTCGGGGGCGCGAAGGCTGCGTTCCAGCCGACACCAGCCCGGGGCAAGCACGCCACGCCCCGCCCCGCCCCGCCACGCCACGCCACGCCCCGCCCCGCCACGCCCCGCCACGCCACGCGCAGGCATGCCAACCAAATCACTCGACCAAACTTGTGGATCCAGAGCGGGGCCGGCAGCGGTCGCGAGATCCGTGAGTCGTTTTTATTTTCAGCTCGGTTATTGCACGATGATAGGCCAAGAGGACGTACCACTATAAAAAGGGATTTTGGGCTACAATTGTGAAAACGCGGGGACGGTCGCCATGCTCACCATGATGGCTTGTAGCCTCTCTCTCTCTCTCTCTCTCTCTCTCTCTCTCTCTCTCTCTCTCTCTCTCTCTCTCTCTCTCTCTGTCTCTCTCTCTGTCTCTCTCTTTCTCTCTCTCTTTCTCTCTCTCTCTCTCTCTCTCTCTCTCTCTCTCTCTCTCTCTCTCTCTCTCTCTCTCTCTCTCTCTCTCTCTGATCATTATACACGTGCCCCCGCCCCCAAACCCGAACCTCGCTTTTTAATGACCTTCGCAATGCTGCCCGCCTGCCCAATTCTCTCTCTCTCTTCACTTATTGAGCAAAAATGTGTATCGATGGCGATAATGGAGATATCCGCCCCGTGCCCTTCGAGGCCCTGTCGTTGGACTGCCGAAGCCCCATGGCCCTCTGGCCCTCTACGGCGAGGTGGCATTTTGTCGACATTTCGCCACCGTCCGTCTCAATTGCCCCCCGCCTTGTCCGCCACTGCCAGAATTCCGAGTAGCAGAGTGTGGGCCAGAAGACCGGTGGAGGTGGACAAAACTCCAAACGCGTTTTGAGCTCCAGAGTCGCTAAACGGGACTCGAACCGAACGTGTGACCCCCACCAATGGATTGCTCTCCGAACGAGGAATCCATTGGTGGGGTCACACATAGGAACGATGCACACACTGTCAAAATTGATCAATTCACATGGTCACTTCATCACAACTAAACGGATGGCCATGTCACCACTTTAAGATGATGATGACCCCAGAAAAATGAAAATTTCTCAAACGTGGGGCTCGCCCCCCTGAGCGCTGTGTGTTGGTGCAGAGCCATAGCCCTCTCTGTGAAGGGAGTGAGTGCTCTCAAAATAAACTCCGAGGCCCGGCTGGGGTGAGCCTCCACGTTACCAAGTGTTCTCGCCGAAGCGACTCCAGTGTCCCAGAGAGCGGTCCTTTATTCGTGTTAGATGGGATGGGCAGTTTATTCAAATAAAGCACAAGTTTCATTTTTCGCTGCATGCAGAAACGACTCCAAACCGCCAAATTTTCCAACTTCCCCTTGGAAAGCGGCTAAGCACAACACCTTCGCGTATCGCAAACAGAAAAACCTCAACATTTTCAACTTTTTCTACTCGAGAACGGCTCGTCTAACGTCGTAATTACGTCCAAATCACGTGCTTTCAATCAAGGCGCCCACGGCGTTCTTCACCGCACTGGGGGTTCCAGTCACGGCCCGCGGCACGAAGGCCCCAAACTTTTTGACAGCCGAGCCTAAGCAGCCCGCTGCATTTCGACTCCAACAACCAAAAACAGCTCCAACATTTACAACCATTCAAAGTTATATTTCATTCAAATTTTTTTGACTTGTTTCAAATTTCCGTTTAACTTTTCTTTTGATGAACTGCTGTTAATTTTGAACGAAGTTTGCAGTAAGCGAACCACAGTGGGCCAGAAGACCGGTCGAGGCGGCCAAAGCTCTAGACGCGTTTTGAGCTCCAGAGTCGCTAAATGAGACTCGAACCGAACGTGTGACCCCACCAATGGATTGCTCTCCGAACGGGATATCCATTGGTGGGGTCACACGTTCGGTTCGAGGCCTGTTTAGCGACCCCTGGGCTCAAAACGCGTCTAGAGTTTTGACCGCCTCCACCGGCCTTCTGGCCGACTGTGGATGAAAGCCTCTAACCTAATTCCCTCGACTCCTCGAGCCGCGCGGCGTGTCGATCGCACGGAATCGGTGGCGTGATGTTGCTTCGGATATCGGGGCAAGTTGGAGCACCACAGAATGCTAGCCATCAGCCAGCCCTGCTCGCCGGATGGCGAGGGGAGCGGGAAGAATTTCACAACGAAACTACGTCGCTACCAGGAGGCCGCGCGCCCTTTTCGAAACCCTTTTGGCTCCGTTACTCCGTTGTTTTTTGCGCGCTCAAGTAGCGAAACAAAGGAAATCAAGTCTAAAGTATAGTTTTTATAAACTTTATCCATAAACCTGATCTCCGTCTACTTGTAAATATTTCTTAAACTTATGCACATACAGCATACACCCCCCGCCCCCCCAACCACCACCACCACCACCACTTACTAAACACACACCTCTATCCAGGCTCATGGAAAGGCGGATATAACCTGGCACTCCTGCAGGAGTCGTTTACAGGACAGGGCGGGCGGGCGACGCACGAAATGCAATTGATTCGAAAAGCGTCGGGGTTTCCAAATTGATTTTTGTGGGTGCGTGCCGCGGGCGCGTTCTGGCGTGCCGAGGCCCTGGGCCGCCCTGGGAGGGCCTTAGCCCCGAGTGCCTCCACGGCGGGGCTGGCGGGGCTGGCGGGGCTCCGCGTGGCTGCGCTCGTGCCGCCTCGCGACAGCGCCGCAAGCCCCACCGCCCGTCGGGCCGTGCCATGGCCGTGCCTCCCCACCCCGCACGAACATTACCCCGCTGGTGTTACCCCTCGGTGACAGCGGTGCCCCTCAGGCTTCATACCGCACGCGAGCCACGCGAACCCAAACCAGTGTTGCCACATAATAAGGCGAAAACTCCCACGAAAGGGTCGCCAGCCTAGCCTGCCCACCGGGCAATGTCTCTGCTTTGACCTGGAGGAGTCATAAGCTGAGGTTGGCAACACTTTCTACACTGCATCGTTGTCGCCAACACGGTTTTTCTACATTTCAGAAAAAAATGAATTTTTCGCTTTTTGCAGGGAAGAGCTTCACGCTGACCATCACCGTGTCCACGTCGCCGCCCCAGGTCACGACGTACAACAAGGCCATCAAGGTGACGGTGGACGGGCCGCGGGAGCCGCGCTCCAAAACAAGTGAGTAGTGGACCTAGAGTGTGACATAAACCGCCGCGGCGGCGGCCGACGCACAGTGGGCCAGAAGACTGGTGGTGGCGGACAAAACTCTAGACGCGTTTTGAGCTCCAGAGCCGCTAAACAGGCCTCGAACCGAACGTGTGACCCCACCAATGGATTGCTCTCCGAACGAGGAATCCATTGGTGGGGTCACACGGTCGGTTCGAGACCCATTTAGCGACTCTGGAGCTCAAAACGCGTCCGGGATTTTGGCCACCGCCACCGGTCTTCTGGCACACTGTAGTACAACGTATAGGAACCGGGTTCGGAGTCTCCAAAGTCATCCAGAGCACTGTTCTGGACAGTGTCCCGGCATGGCATGGCACGGCATGGCGCAGCGGAAAAACGAACGAGTTGGTCGGAGGTAAACAAACAGCAAGGCGCAGGGCGGCACCACTCGAGTTTCAAAGGCCCCGCCTCGGCCGCCTCGGCCTCGGAGTCTCGGAGAACACGGGGCGGCCATCTTGCCGCGGCAGTGGCAGGCAGTAGTAGCGCCCCCACTGTAGGGAGCCAGGCAGAGCCGGCAAAGCGTGGCGGTAAAAGTGAGGTTATGTGCCCAAGTTGTAAAGCACCGGCACCCTTTGAAGCCCGGCCAGGATGTTTATCGCCAGGCCCCCGCACCGGCCGGGCGTGGCGGGGCGTGGCGGGGCGGGGCGGGGCGGGGCGGGGCGGGGCGGGGCGGGGCGGGGTGGGGCAGGCGCCCCGCCTACGGCCCCTCTCTCAAGGCGCCGCCCACCAGTGTGCGCGAATCGCGCCGTCGCAAGGACACTGTCGAGGATTTGGGGAAAAAGGTCCAGAGTCAAACTCTCACTCTCTATCGTCAAATAACGCGCGGTATCAAACTGCTCTTTTATAGTCTCCTGGTGTTTATTGGTCTGACTTGGGAAAGGAAAAGTCGATTCGAATCGTGTGTCTACATCTCAGTCTTGTTTATCCCAGCCTGGTCATGATGCACTTGAGTGGAAAAACTTACAAGAAAAAAAAACCAAGCAAATTCTAATTTGTTGGCTTGGAAAACGAATTTTTCGGCGGGGAAAATCTGTATTTACTCACCAGAAATTTAACGTATATAGACTATGGCTTGGCGGGGCGCACCGACCGAGATGTAAACACGTCCCGTGACATCATGACGCCGCCGGAATGGGTCCCTGGACTCCAGTCCGTCACAGCGGCACCTCCAACGAAAAAAAAGCAAACAACAATAAAACATCAAAAACAAGAGGAAACAGGAAATAAAATCGCGGCGCCATCAATTATGGTCAATGTGGCTGAGCCCCCTGCCCTTTAGGGCCTCCAGGGCCTTCAGGGCGTTCCAGGGTTCCAGGGTTCCAGGGCCTAGGGCAGGCCGGCCACCCAGCACGGCGCGCCGCGACGGACGTGTACCTGTTGCCACACACGCGCGCCGATTTTTTTTCCCATTTTTTTTTTTTTCGCGCCGTCTATGTCCGTGTCCGACATGCCACCCCTCGCGCGAGCGGGCCGCCAGCAGCAACGGCCAACGGCCAGGCCGCAGTCTCGGCCAGCGAGTTTCGCTGGAGCGGTTCGTTTATCTCTTCCGGACTCATAGTTTCACAACGTGGCTCCACACACACAGCGCCTTCGTCGCTCTCTCGAAGTGGTTAATCCTTTTTGCTGGTGTGGGTGCCAGACGGCCGGGCGGCGTCGCTCGGTCTGGGGGCGCTAGGGCCTGTCAAGTCGATCGGTAGGTTGTCCTGTCCCCCCTCCCCCCCTCCCCCCTCCCCTCCCCCCGCGGCCCCAAAACGGCAGCCACGACACCGCAAGACGCCGCGGCCCCGCGGAGCACCGCGTCGAGCACTGTCACGGCGCGGGCAATTTACGGGCCTTCCAAAGTGGGCCAGAAGACCGGTGGAGGCGGACAAAACCCGAGACGCGTTTTGAGCTCCAGAGTCGCGAAATGGGACTCGAACCGAACGTGTGACCCCACCAATGGATTGCTCTCCGAACGAGGAATCCATTGGTGGGGTCACACGTCCGGTTCGAGAGCTGCAGCTCAAAACACGGCGCAGGGTAGGCAACCCCTCGAGCAGCAGCGTGTGGAGCCACGGCTGACTGCCTACCCTCCAGGCGCGCTGCTGCACTGTTAATTGCAGCAGCTGTCGATGAATTCGAATGAATTCCTGCACGAAATCGCGGTTGTTAAAATTAGTCTCGTCAGAATCACTTCCGTCATGAATCCGCACAGTCAGATTGCGCAACCTGGCTGTGGCGTGTCGACAAGTCGTTTCCACTCGGCCCGCTGTTCCCATTCTCACACACAACGGTCCCGAATCCACCCCTGCTTGGCGCGGGGCCCCTGGTGGGCCACAGTGTGCCTGCGACGTGCCTGTCGGGGCGGGAGTGGGGCTCGCTGCAGCGTAGGTGTCGATCCTGGTTCCAGGGGACTGGATTATGGATACTTCGGGAACACGGATGTCGCTCCGGAGTCCGGGGCCTTCGGGGCGAGACTCGGCAAGGCCCGCTTCTCCCAGTGACCCTCCAACCTAATGAATTGCTTGTTGAATTAATTGAGGGACTGCAGCACCGACCCTTGTCACTCCCCGCCCCGCCCCGCCCCGACCGTGTGTGAACAGACACTCCAGACAGGTGGGCACCTATTCACACGGCCTTCCCTCAATAATAGAAGAGGATCCGAACGACGCGACGCCCCTCGCGACAATATGCCACGCCGACTCGGCATTTTGATAATCCCCAGGGCTTTGCGCTTTGCGAGCAACGAGGCACCCAAAACTCGAATCGCCTGCAAACTATCTGCCAGAGAGAGAGAGAGAGAGAGCTAGCGGCGCGTGGGTAAGCCCACAAGGGAAGTCCCAATCCGCACACACGCATGGCAGTGTCTTGGCAACCCCTTGCAGCCATTTATCATGCATTTTTCGCCAGCCACCCCTTTGCCGTCATCGCCACACAGCCTTCTTCCTCTCTCTCTCTCTCTCTCTCTCTCTCTCTCTCTCTCTCTCTCTCTCTCTCTCTCTCTCTCTCTCTCTCTCTCTCTCTGTCCTCGTGGTGACCACCGGCCTTGTCCAATACCACTCGTTGCTCCACCCCCTCCTCTTCCTCGTCCTGCAGGACCCCGTCCAGGACGACCCTCGCCATTTGCATACTGGCCGCACCGAATTACTCCCATTCCCTGGGGCAGCCGAGCCGAGCCGAGCCGAGCCGAGCCGAGCCGGACGGGCCAACTGCATCGCGATGGAAATACGCAGCACCGGAACCGAGGACGGCGAGGGCGGTGCAAATCTTGTTCGCGGCGCCACCTTTGAATGCAAAGGACCCTGACCGCCCGGCCGGCCAGCCCGGCCAATTGCAGATTTCGGAGCAGGGAAGGTAGCATTTACTCCGCCGGGCATGACCCGCCCCATGGCCCCATGGCTGCAGGGCAAGATTCGAGGTGTCGTTGCGCAATTTACACCCAGAAAAATGGTTTCTTGATGATAAATTTTCTTGGTTTTTATAAGAAAAAAAAAGTCTCAACAAAAGAATTTTTTTCTGCATAAAATAAAAAAAATTGGGTGAAGAAAAATTTTCTTGAAAAAAAAACAAGAAAAGTTGACTTTTTTATCCAAGAAGTCCTCTTTTTAGGTGTACATCCCATAGGAAGTTAGGGAAATTCATACGTAAATTTCTAGTTCTATTATTTAAAAAAAATTAAATTTATCTAATGATTTTAAAAAATTCTCATCGTAAAAGTAAAGTGCGAAATTATGTTAGGAGGAGAAACTGCGCCAACCCGACTGTCACTGCGCGAAAGTGCAGGGGCCAAGGAGGTGAACTACAGTGAAACCGGTCCAGATTCTGGGCCATTAATCAGGCATCTCGTCCACGTCCATGCCTCTCGACAAGGCTTTCCAATTATTCAGAGGGAGAGAGAGAGAGAGAGAGAGAGAGAGAGAGAGAGAGGGGGGGGGGGAGAAAAGTGGAGAAAGGGAGAGAGAGAGAGAGGTCGCGAGAGGAATTTGAGCTGCTACGAAAATCCCTTGCGAGCCCACTGTGTGTTCTCACCCTTCCCAATCAACCCCTTGGCTTCGACACACGCACACACACACACACACACGTACACACACACACACTCACACACTCGAGCACGTGTGCGGGCTGAGAGCAAACTGAGCACGTTCTGCACTGCTCCTCTCACCTCGCAATCAAACAGACGCGCGTGCCTCTGCAGATATGCAAATCAAACCTCGGATGCAAAAACGAACCTCGTGTCAAGCCGCTATGCGCACTTAAAAACTGACTAACACTTACGTCCCGTCTAGCTTTCCAAAACGGTTTTTTTCTGTCTTCGACCTGTCTGCTAATTTTCACCTTGCCTAATTAACTGGAGCATGTTTCTTTGACACGACAAAACGTGCTGCTCAGCCCATTGCTCGATTAAGAGAGAGAGAGAGAGAGAGAGAGAGAGAGAGAGAGAGAGAGAGAGAGAGAGAGAGAGAGAGAGAGAGAGAGAGAGAGAGAGAGAGGGAGAGACTTGAGGCGAATAAATCAGGCGAATTCATCTTGCAACTGTTGAGTAAAGGGGTGAAAGTTGGGGCCAAAGACGGGGCCTCCATCCGGGCGTAACAGCGCTGGCGATATTGTTTCTTGTGGTGGTTGAATAAATTAGTATTTCCCTCTCGCTCCCCCTCCCCTCCTCCTCTCTCCTTCTCGCTCGGTTGGCTCACTTGAAGGTCGAGGCCCGGGGGCTCAAATTTGCAGCTACGAAAACAGAGCCGGCTGTCATCGAAATGGTATCATGGATTGTGACCTAAAGCCGCGCAAAGTTTAGGAAGCATGGAGAGTTTTGAGCAGCGTCTAGGGGAATATGGGATGTCTATGTCTAAAACAACTTCTTGGAAACAATCAAAAAGACCAAACCATCTTAAAGACGTGTGCGACGGAGCTAAAATATGGCAATGGTGTTTTCAGAGACACTCTAGCATTTCAAACGAACGTCTCATCCACTGTAGCATCCACTGTATCGGCCAGTCGCCGGCAAGGGGTCCCAGGGGGTCCCAGGGCACACTGTTTCCGAGGCCGTTTGGTCGAGGGGCCCCACACCCTCGGCCTCGCCAACAGTGTGTATTCCGTTATTAGGCGACCCAAGGAGGGGAGCAGCCTTCATGCATCACACCAGAGACGTGAGGGCGAGGCGCACACACCGCAGAACACTCGCAAGTCGAGCATCGAAGCGAGGCAAACATTAAAAATTGACTAGCCACTAGCAACAGCACTAGAACATACTGACCTTGCATAAAAATGACCACCCCTCTGCTTGACTCCGCGTGAAAAGTTGACGAAAGAGGATGAGAGATGAACAACCCCTGTTTTGGCCACAGTGGTCCAAGGAGGTCCTGAGTAATGCTCTCCTGCCCACTGTCTTGTAAGGCGGTTGGTTTAGTTTATGTCCTGCCAAGTGGCTGCCTCCCCCTGCTTCGGCCTGCTCTGCGTGTGTGGGCGTGTGTCTGTGTGTGTGTTGGTGCGCCAACCCCTCGCATCCCACCCTCGGATGACTAATGTTGTTCCCGTATTAAGCTCTAAAATTCACCTCTCTCACTCTAACGACAGGGATGCCCGAACATCCGGCAGACGGCGCGCTGGTCAAACAATCTAGCAGTGTAGACCCTCGCCGTCCCGGTGCGCCAGTACGCCCTATAAAGCTGTTAACACCCTGTTGCTGCCGCTAGCGGAGCTCCTTGCAAGGAGTGTCCCTTGCCGGGGCGTTAATTGCACAGCCCTCCATAACTTCGCGTTCCGCCAGATCATCGCAACGCCTGCCCTGCAGTGCTGCCACACTAGCAACCCCCACGACGCACAGTGAGGCGGACAGAACTCTAAACGAAGCTCCAGAGTCGCTAAACAGGACTCGAACCGAACGAGTGACCCCACCAATGGTGACCCCACCGAACGAGGAATCCATTGGTGGGGTCACACGTTCGGTTCGTGTCCCATGGGGGTTTTCACCTACAGTGTGGCAGTACTGCGTTTTCCGCTGGGCAGCGTTTATGCTGAAGTGCGCAGTGTTGTCTCTTCTAGGGCAGCAGCAGCAGTTCCACTTCGCCTTCGGCCAGCGGCCCGCCTTCCTGTCGGGGCACTTCGGCTCCCCGCTGGACCCTCTGCAGCGCGCCGACCCGCTGGCCTTCCGGGTGCCCTCCATGGCCAACTGCAACAGTGAGTACACGGAGTGCAGTAGAGTGCAGAAGAGTGCAGCAGAGTGCAGCAGAGTGTGGGAGAGTGCGGTAGATTGCAGGAAACTAGCATGCTAGTAGAGTTCAGTAAGTGTAGTAGAGTGCCCTCGAGAGTGCCGTAGTGTCTGGTGGTAGAGGGCAGTAGAGTGTATTAGAGTGCGGTAGTGTCTAGTCGAGGGTAGTAGAGTGTAGTGCAGGGGCAGCCCTGCTGGAAGCAGCCACGGCCAGGCCAGCGAGGGAGGCGACCCAGTGTCTCTGGGCGACTTGGCCGGGCTAAATAGGGATTTCAAAGTTTGCAGCGGCAAAGCTGGCCTTGCCGTGGCGTGGCGTGGCGTGCCGGGAGGGGAGGTCACTGTGGGCCGAGCCACGGCCGAGCGGTCCGACGACCCTCTTGGATTAGCGAAGGCACGCCGTCGACCACGGCGGCTAAAGGCCGAGGGGCGTTCCGAGGGGCGTTCCGAGGGGCGTTCCGAGGGGCGTTCCGAGGGGCGTTCCGAGGGGCGTTCCGAGGGGCGTTCCGCGGGGCGTTCCGAGGGGCGTTCCGCGGGGTTCCGCGTTCTGGGCGCGAGAAATCGATGCGCCCCAAAAGCGGACAATCAACCCGATATTTCGCCCAGTTTCGTTCAGTTTCTTTCTACTACAGTAAACTTGCGATTGGTCATGAAATTAGCCGAGAGGTTTTCCTGTATAGTCGCACACGATGACGTTTTCTAAATTCAAATTCAGAGTCGGAGAAAATTGAAACTCGATATACGCATGTCCATTGCGGGGTCGCAGCACCACCACACAGTGGGCGAGAAAGCCGGTGGAGGCGGAAAAATTCCAGACGCGTTTTGAGCTCCAGAGTCGCTGAACAGGACTCGAACCGAGCGTGTGACCCCACCAATGGATTCCTCGTTCGGAGAGCAATCCATTGGTGGGGTCACACGTTCGGTTCGAGGCCTCTTTAGCGACCCTGGAGCTCAAAACGCAGCTAGAATTTCTGCGAACTCCCCCACTACTAGTGCGGTGCCTTGCAGTGTAGTGGACACTCCGTCTCCCTCCCACGCCCACCTGGCGGGGCCCGTCCCATTCCCAGAGGGGCGGGCGGTGTGACGGTCGGATAGAGAGAGATAGTTGGCGGGGGTGGAACAGAGCAGGTCGCAGCGCGCGCGGCGCTCACGGGGCGAGGCGGACGTATGCAAATTGGCGGTCCGTCTCTCTCGCACTCCAGCCGCGTCCCTCACGGGTGCGAGAGAGACGGGGCCGGGCGCCCTTCCGCGTAGATCAATGTAGTCGTAGTAACACGTGCACGCCGACAATGCACGCCAATCTTGCAGAGGCGCCGTTTGAATCTACAAATGGCCGTCATGGCGAGCCCCCGTGTTTCAGGGACTCACTCACCGCTGCTCGATTACGCAACACCGTAATTTGAAACTTGGAGTACAGAGTCCCCTTTTTCAGCAAGGTGTTTCTAGACAGCAGAGACTAAAAATTACACGCAGCCGCGGTCGATTCGAGTGTGGCAGTCCCCACACTTGGTTTCACAGTGTACTGCGATAGTGAAATGTTGAACGTGTTCCCTCCCTGCCGCCAGACATGAGCGGCTTCGGGCTGACGTCGGCGGCGCCGCACTGGGGCTACTCGGCGGCCAACCCCTACTCGCCGTACCTGGGCCAGGGGCTCACGTCGTGCGCCGCCACCACGGGCTTCAACACGCCGGCCATCGGCTTCGGCACCACCGACAACCACGCCGACTTCGGCTCCACCAGCACCGTGTCCTCCAGTGAGTGCCACAACAACCCTCAACGCGTTTTGAGCTGAGTCGCTAAACAGGACTCGAATCGAGCGTGTGACCCCACCCATGGATTCCTCGTTCGCAGAGCAATCCATTGGAGTCACACTTTCGGTTCGAGTCCCATTTAGCGACTCTGGACGTCCCGTGACGTCACCGAGTGCTTTCCGCTTGCAGTCCTCCCGGAGTCGACGGGCGGTGTGGCCTCGGACCTGGAGCAGCAGCTCGGCCTGGTCACCTCGCCGGCGCCCAACAACCTGGGCACCCTGCACCACAACAACAACATCCCAAACAACAACAACAACACGACAACCAACAACAATAACAACAACAACACCGGGGCGGCGGTGAGTCCGCTCGGGCGGGCCTCCTCGCCACTCAAGTACCCGGACTACGGCTTCACGTCGGGGCCGCGGTCGCTGTCGGACTCCTCGCAGGTGAGAACCGGAAGCGGCTGCGCTTTTAGGGACTTTCCGGAAACTTCTCCGTTTTAAAACGTCTGTCGCTTTGCAGGCCGAGTCGCCGCTTAGCGAGGAAATCCTGCCGTCCATCGGCGCGCCCAACAGTGGCCTGGCCAACGGCCTGAACGGCCTCCACCAGGCGGGGGCGGCGGGGGCGGGCGCGGGGGCGGGGGCCGCCCCCAACAGCATGGTGATGGGGGGCCACCACCAGGCCGGCGCGACCTGCAACGGCTCCGCGTCCAACCTGTACCTGGGCGCGCCGGTGCTCCCGGCAGCCTCCGCCATCCTGTACTCGCAGGTACGGTCCCGGGTTCGAGTACCGACGGGGGGTGCCTTTTGATTTCCCTGGAGAAGTTTCCCTTAGATTCAGGGTGTGGGGTGGGCCAGACTGTGAGCCAGACAAGTGGAGGTGGCCAAAACTCTACACGCGTTTTGAGCTCCAGAGTCGCCAAACAGGACTCGAAGCAAACGTGTGACCCCACCAATGGATTCCTCGTTCGGAGAGCAATCCGTTGGTGGGGTCACACGCACGGTTCGAGTCCCATTCAGCGACTCTGGAGCTCAAAACGCGTCCAGGGTTTTGACCACCTCCACCGAACCTCTGGCCGACGGCAACGCAGCGCTAACGCACGCCCTATCTGGTTGCAGCTCTACTCGGCGGCGAGCGGCCACCACCAGAACTCGCACCAGTTCCACCACCACCTGCACCACCACCACCACGGCAGCGCGGACCTGCTGGGCGCCTCCTGCCTACCGCAGCAGCAGCAGCAGCGGCCGCCGGGCGACAACACCGCGGTCTGGAGGCCGTACTGACTCGCGTCAAATGGGGCCACGGCCGCGGCCGAACGCCGCCAGTTGACTGGCTTCGGGTCCGAGCGAGGCTCGCTCGCCTCGACATTTTGTGATACACTTTACGTTTAAGGAGTTGTAACGACGCTGGGTGGCGGCATAGCACGGTCTTTTGCGACATTCACGGACTGGAGGGATGTTCCAAAAAGGGTGGTATAACGCTGGCAGTTCTAGTGATATTGTACATAAAGTTTTCCACGATGCCGTCTGTTTCTGGTACACTATGCGAACGCTAAACTGACTTCTCGTCGGAGCGTTGCCGTCATTCTAAAACTGTGCTCTGCATTTTCGTTTAAAATTATACCCCATTTCAAAGCATTAGTTAGTGGGAAAAGCCGGGATCACGACACGAGAAATTTAATTTAATTAGCAAATAAATGTTGTGTCATGCAAAGAAACAGTGTTACGGATACGAATAAGTGGAAAATGTTAAACCAAGGCTCGCTGTACAGACTAGCTTTTTAATGGACTTGTAACTATCGATTCTAATGTACATAAATAATGTGTATACGAAAAAGGTTTTGCTATATATTGTGGATAATCTATATATTGTTACGTTACGTTGTTTTTGTTCCAAGTTAAATGTATTTATCCGGTGGCGCTGTGAGGCTTAATGGTGAGTTTCGTAATAAGTGAAAGACACAATTAATTGCAAACTCGAGAAACGCCCGCCATGTTCCGAATCCTGTTCGCACAGACATATCTGCGGTCCTACGATGTGAAACATATCATACCTTTTGCATTTGCCAGAGCAAGCATTTTGCGGTCTCATCGCTACGTTTCTGTGTTGGGTGTCGACGCCACTGTTACCTGTCTCTGTCTGCCGCGTGTGGCGGCTACACTGTAAAGTCGCCGGGAAATAAATTCTTTCAAGTCAAAAGCGCTCCTTTTCTTTCACCGTCCAACAACCCTGCGGCCGCGCGGCCCCACGCAAGTCTGCACACATTTCAGCCCAAATTCCTCACCGGCATACTTCTCTGCGCCAAACGCACCGCGGCGAGGGGGAGGGGGGGGGGGGGCAAAGCAAAGACCGCGGCGGCCGCAGCCTCGCCGGCCAACGGGCAGCCAAAGGCGAGCCAAAGGCAAAGAAGGTGAATTCGTTGAATTCGCTGAATGCGGCGGTGAGCCAGGTCTGAGGCACAGTGGGCCAGAAGACCGGTGGAGGCGGCCGAAACAGGAGACGCGTTTTGATCTCCAGCGTCGCTAAACGGGACTCGAACCGAACGTGTGACCCCACCAATGGATCGCTCGTTCGGAGAGCAATCCATTGGTGGGGTCACACGTTCGGTTCGAGTCCCATTTAGCGACTCGAGCTCAAAACGCGTCCGGGATTTTGACCGCCCACCGGTCATCTGGCCCACTGTGGGCACAGGTCAGCAGAGCGATGTAGCTCTGTCTCTCTCGCACCTACACGGGACGCCCCATGAGTGCGAGAGAGACAGAGCGACTGCAGAGAGCCGCGGTTCCGGAAAAGAAGAGTGCCGGTCGCGGCTGGCCCTAAAAAAAGACACCGTGTTTTCACGTTATTCCTTTTCTCGGAGGGGCCTTTCTAGCTATTGCCACGTTGCAGAGGTTCGGCTTACACAAAAAAGTTGTCTTCCTCTTTCAAGAAATTCAAATTATTTTTTGACTTTGCCCAATCTTACCATCCCGAGACGGGAACCTTGCCGAAATCCCCGGAACGCGGCCACCAAGTTCCACAGCAGATTAACTTTCCACGCTCGCGAACCAACTCGCCAGACGCCTGATTCCGAAGGTTCTGCCTCTCTCTGGCAGCACTGAGGGACGCCCCGCGAGAGCGAGAGAGACTGAGGCGGCGGTGCGGCAGTACGGCACCCCAGTTCGCTGTACAGCTCGGCAAACCGCAGGCAGCCGATGTAACGATCAGACCGACCGGCCGTGCCTCGCCTCGCCTCGCCGTGCAGCCTTCAAAAAGTTTGGGGCGCCCGGCCGGCTACGTGTTCGCCAAGGCGGCGGCTGGCTTCGCACAGTGGGCCAGAAGACCGGTGGAGGCGGCCAAAGCTCTAGACGCGTTTTGAGATCCAGAGTCGCTGAATGGGACTCGAACCGAACGTGTGACCCCACCTATGGATGGCTCTCCGAACGAGGAATCCATTGGTGGGGTCACACGTTCGGTTCGAGTCCTGTTCAGCGACTCTGGAGCTCAGGCCGCGCCTAGAGTTTTGGCTGCCTGCAAGCCCACTGTGCTCCGTCTGCCGAAATGAGTGTCATCCAAGTTAGACCCGGAGCGGAAGTACCCAACAGCTATTGACAGCAGCGTTAATAAGGTCGCCTTATATTGGCCAAACTTGGAACATCGGAAATAGTTCGGGGCGCGTCGTTGGGGTTATTGCTTCGGGAGCGGGCAGCTCGATTTCGGGATCGGAGACGAATCGTTATCTCAGAGACTGAACTTTGGATCATTTGGTCGCAGTCGTTCGGTTCGAGTCCCGTTTAGCGACTCTGGAGCTCAAAACGCGTCCGGGATTTTGGCCGCCTCCCGGTCTTGCTGGTCGTGCTGCCTATGCCGCCGTTGGCAGGGGCACTGGGAGGGACACTGTAGGAGGGGCGAGGGGTGAATGACTCAGCGTTCTGGTGTACACATGAGTACATGAGTACGGGTGAGTACACCTTGCTTAGCTCACAAATTTTGCATTTGTAAACGCTCAAAGGCTTTATTTAGCGTTTTAAACGACACCCAACGCCAAATCAAGCGAAAAAGTACAGAATATCACCCTTATTAAACTTGAGAGTACACTGAGTACGGGCAAATTTGTACACATGAGTACACTAGTGATTCACCCCTCGAGGAGGGGCCGGAGCGACTTGGAGGAAGGTCTCCTCGAGGAGCGAGGGCTGCGATTCGACGCCAAAGTCGCCTATAAGGCGCCGGGGCCCTGGGCCCTGCGCCCTGGGGGTGGAGAAAAATGGCCCTTTGGCAGTCACGAGCCGCACGGGTTGTGGGAGGCTGCGGAGCCCCGCCACGGCCCGCCACGCCCCACCGGGGCTCAGGGCACGCCCCGCACAGTAAGCGCGGAGGAGGCCAAATTTCTAGACGCGGTTTGAGCTCCAGAGTCGCTAAAAGGGACTCGAACCGAACGTGTGACCCCACCAATGGATTCCTCGTTCGGGGAGCAATCCATTGGTGGGGTCACACGTTCGGTTCGAGTCCTGTTCAGCGACGCTCGATACCCCCCTGCAACAAGCAACTATCTACGCCCACTGTCTCGATAACCGACTATCTACGCGCGCTCTCCCGACAACCGGCTATCTACACGAGCTGTCTGGATAACCGTCTATCTGCTTTCTCCACCTCGCGAGATTGAATGCTTTTATTTATCCAACCAATTAAGTTGCCCTCGCAAAACCTTTACCAAAACTTGTCAAAAGTTTGTCAAAGCAAGATTAAGTATGGTTTAAACGGGTCGCTTTAAGTGTCATGGAGAAAAATACTTCGTTATACGACAACCCTAACCTCGCTACGATGTTGGATAGTCGGTTATCCAGACAGCCCATGTAGATAGCCGGTTGTCGGGAGAGCGCCCGTAGATAGTCGGTTATCGAGACAGTGAGCGTAGATAGCTGCTTGTTGCAGGGGAGTATCGCGCTGGAGCTCAAAACGCGTCTAGAGTTTTGGCCGCCCCCACCGGTCTTCTGGCCCTCCTGTGCCTCGTTCTAAACACTAAGATCGAAACCGAAAAGTTTCGGAAATAACGAACGAAACACGACACGTATCAGCTGTAAAAACTCGACTTACAAAAGAATTTTTCCTCCTTCCGGTAACGAGCCGAAAGAGACAAACCGGAAGTTGAAACCGGATCGCGAGCCTCGCTCCGGTCAATTTGGCGGCAACACGGGCTGCTTCACGGTGGCGCCGGTGGCGGTGAATTTAAATTACGCCACTTCAGGCCACTCCACTGGGAGTCTTAAGGTGGCCGAGAGACGCAACCCCCAAGACGGCCATACCGCGGATTTACGGCGTCGAGGCCCCGCCCCCTCCCTCTCTCTCTCTCTCACACACACACGGGGCAACCCTATCGGCGAAACTAGACCTTTAAGCACCGCAGAGCGGCGTGAATTAACGCAGTGCAGTTTTGCAGGAGGGAGGAGCGGGATGGTGGCGTCAGCATAACAATCGGATCATTTTCAAACCCTTCAAATGTCAAAACTGCCACATTTCAAACTTTGCTTTGGACATTACGTAATAAAATGAAATTGAAGAAAAATGGACGAAAAGTGGACAGTGCGCCGCTGCTTTAGGTTGGCTGTTGGCAGTGCATATGGATTGCATCCGCATTGCCAACCGTCAGATTAACTACGCGTCGTTTTGCCGGTGTGGTGGTCGCACTGAGATTGTGTCGCTGTGTTGGCAGCACTGCAACGACACGCGAGTGCACAACGCAATCACGGAATCAATCAACCTCAGCGCGGCTTACACTGTGAGAACGCCGTTGCCAACCTAAACCATCGAACTCCGCCCAAACTTGTGTTTTGGCGGGGGAGAACATGGGGGAAGTTGGGTGGAAACAAGTGAGGAAAGTGAGAAAAACTGAATAAGAAAAGAATAAAAGCAAAAATAATAATGAAAACGGAGGAACGTGACCAAGAGAAGGGAATATGACTTTGTTTACAAATTGACAATAAAAAAAAATTCGACCGCACGAAAACAAAAGTGCCCCTGCCGGTGTTCGAACCAGCGGACTTGGTTGGCTTTCCTCGGAACGCGGCGCGACGGGCTCAAAGGGCCAGACGGACGGTTGACCCCAAATGGAATTGCGCGCTGATTGACTCCTACACCGTACAAAAGCTTAGTCCGCGGTCGTCCAACGGACGGGGAAGCACCAAAGCCCTGCGGTGCGTCAGGCTCTGTGTGTGTGTGTGTGTGTGTGTGTGTGTGGTGGTGTGTGTGTGTGTGTGTGTGGGTGTGGTGTGTGTGTGTGTGTGTGGTGTGTGTGTGGTGTGTGTGTGTGTGTGTGTGTGTGTGTGTGTGTGAGCGCGTGCACGCATGTGTGTGATATGCAGTCCACCTGCTATGAATAGACACGGCTGGCCAAAACGCCAACTGTCAAAGCGTTTGAATGCGATCCATCCCCCAGGTCAGTCTGTCTTTGTCTCTCCCTGCCTCCCTCCCTGGAGGGGTAGGCGCGACGCCGCGCCGCGACGGCTGCGCGATCTAGCGGCGGCGGCGCGACTCGAGGCCCATAAAAATGCCAAGAAGGCGTCGGGTGGCGCCGCCCGGCGGCCGAGGCGCGAAGCTCGCGCCAAAGAAGGCGCCAAGAAAGGGGGAAGGAACGGGAAAGTTCCTCGGGAGAAAAGTAGCGTCGCGGCGCGGCGTCTTGAGGCGCCGCGGGACGGTGGCGCCCTCCGCGCGCCCCGCGGCGAGGGGCGGAACCAGCGGGGAAAGAAAGGGGCGGATAAAGTTCAGTGGGCGCGGGATGTTTCCACGCGTCACAGTGGGCCAGAAGACCGGCGGAGGCCGCCGAAACTCTAGACGCGTTTTGAGCTCCGGAGTCGCTTAGCAGGACTCGAACCGAACGTGTGACCCCCAATGGATTCCTCGTTCGGAGAGCAATTCATTGGTGGGGTCACGCGGTCGGTTCGAGTCCCATTTAGCGACTCTGGAGCTCAAAACGCGTCCGGGATTTTGGCCGCCTCCAGCGGTCTTCTCGAGGGGTCGGCAACTCATATATTACTTCGTACGCGGTGGCTATATTACCCGTATATTACCTGTATATTACCATATATTACTTGCATATTACCACAATTTCGCTTCTATAATACCCCTATCTTACTATATATTACTTCGTATTACTTTATATTACACATATATTACCTACTATATTACTGGTAATATACGTATACTCCCTC